GGCTAGCGCAGATAGCCCTCGTGTAGCTTTGCGCGAAATTCAAAAACAAACAGCCTTTACGTCGGTTGTAAGTTAAAATAGTAAATGGTGATAATTTCATCACACACACACACACCCTTGTGACGCATTTTGGAACTATCCGCCCCTAGCAGTACACTTTGAAATTATCTGTTTCGAGTGGCACATTTTTGAACTATATGCCCTCTGGCAACACTTTGTAGAACTATGATGTCACGAGACCTCTAGATCTCAAAGGCTATCTCCCGAACTGGGCGGCACTCTTTGATCTGCATCCGTTGACGACCCCTCCCCACTGATGCAGCTCCTTTTGCTTCATGTCGGGAGGGGGGACTACTTAGGTGTGATTCGTAAGTTATTAAAAGAAGAAGCATGACTCATTACTAGCATATGTATTCTAGCATTGTTAATACTAGACGTATAATACAGTAGTAATCAGTATGTTTCCTGGATTGTTAAAACAAGAAGCATGCCTTAGTACAAGCGGGTGTATTCTAGTATTGTTAATACAAGACGTATAATACAGTAGTAATCAGTATGTTTCATGGATTGTTAAAACAAGAAACACGACTTAGTACAAGCGGGTGTATTTTAGTATTGTTAATACAAGAAGTACAATACAGTAGTAATCAGTATGTTTCCTGGATTGTTAATATAAGAAACATGACTTAGTACAAGTGGGTGTATTTTAGTATTGTTAATACAAGAAGTACAATACAGTAGTAATATATGTTATTCCTCGATTGTTACAATAAAATACACAATACAATAGTAATCAGTATGTTTCCTGGATTGTTAAAACAAGAAGCATGACTTAGTACAAGCGGGTGTATTTTAGTATTGTTAATACAAGAAGTACAACACAGTAGTAATATATGTTATTCCTCGATTGTTACAACAAAATACACAATACAATAGTAACAAGTGTGATTGCTGAATTGTTCAAACAAGAAGCAGAAGTTAGAATCAACGATAACCAAGAAATAACTGTGGCCAAAACATTACATAACAATTGTTGTACTGATCTGTGCTTTTGCGTAAAAAATATGTGAAGAAGAAAAAAAAGAGATGACATCTTCTCATGCACTAGCTATTTATCTTGGTAAGACCTGTATCTTAGGTACTTCATTAACGATAGCAAGAACTTGTTATGAATTTATTAAATCTATTTTAAAATAGGAATGCAATATACTTGTCAAAACGGATGCCTAACTAACGAGAAACGCCAATAAACAATTTATGTTATTTACAATTCTAATCATACTAGTAAAGTCTACGCTTTATGTTATCGTTGCGGCTACGACAGCTATCTCTGGCTAGCACTTTAAGCACTCGCGTGCCTCACGTGCCCCACATGCTAGTGCACTGACTGATCAACAGAGGGACCGTCGCCAATTAGAATTTCTAATGAACGCTGTCTACCAAGAGGTTGGGGAACGAACCTATAATCAGCAACTATGAGTACTAATCTAATTATAGGCGAGTTTGACTTGCTGTCATTAAGGTCATCTTTAAAATTTTAGCTTGGTTGTAAAAAGTCTTGGACCAAGCTTATCGTGATCAGAGGTTGAACGGTACGACTTGTCTTCTCCTTACCAAACTAATAGCTTGATGCTGCCAGGCGTGAGTGAACGATTAACCTGCTAAAACACCTCATACGTGTCCATCAGTACGGAGAGTAATCACTTGACCTCGTCACTCGCTGGTTGGATGACTTTCCGAGCACTGTTAAAAATGCACGATCCGCCCACTAAGAGAGCGATAAGCTTAGTTTGCCAAAGAGGAGAATATTTATTAGAAACATTAGTGTACCACAGAATGGTTCAACTTATCTAGTGGAACTACAACAACCGCCATGGCTTATTTCCTCCAGATATTTGAAAAGCCTGGGTGGTCAATTATTCTTCCCATTTAAGAACATCTGTAAGAGTTGGAGAGAAGGCGTGGCTGCAAAGGAACCACTTGAGCACGGGGAAAACGTGAGAAAGTTAGAGACATTTTCGTATTTACCGAAGAAAATTCGAAGCAACAATTGTTTTACTTCAAGTCCGATACATCATAAGCCGTGAAACGGCAAATATCCTCTATAAAGGTTGGTCGTATGGGTTGTTATTGGAAACATCCTAAATGAGAAAGACAATAAAAGTAAAAAAAAACAAAAAACAACAACATCGGTATGGAAAAAAAAAGCTTAATCAACTTCGTATTTGACGCCATAGGTAATTGGAATAACTATATTTTGAATATAACCTCGTGGTTTTGGTGATAAACACGTGTTCGAGTAATACAAAATACATTTTTTACACACAATACCTGTATAGCTGCTTTATGTAATGAGGCTTGTGCATCCTGTATCTCCTCCTTATCCACGTTGAGCGAGATGTTGTTCTTGTTACCATGTCTACAGGGAGGAACTGATTGATATATAAAACCACATATGCTTAGATGCGTGTTCATACGAGAGATAATTTAATAACATATTTCATCAATCACTGTTGGGGAAATATAACAGGATGAAAACATAAAAACACTGATCGCGCGAAAGTACGTTAGGTTCGATTGATCGTAGCCTGATATGAAACTGAAGATGTACGTAAAAAATATTCATATCAAAATTATTGATATATGCCTTACTCGAGATATCCTCCACTTCAACTCTGAATATTACTTAGCTGAGTGAGTGACTTATTTAAAATCATCGTACTGAGGCAACTCCAAATAAATAATATGCACCGAATAGTAACTAAAGCGTTGGTTTGACATTGAGCTGATCTTGAAGGGAAAGCACCTGTTGAGGTAATATAAGGCTAGAAATTCGTATAACACATGAAAAAAAAAAAAAATACAATAATGCATACACTAATGGAAACTTTTTATTCATATATATTGTGATAATTTTATTTGAGTTTATAGACAATTGGGCTAATTCCTTCAAAGGTTTGGTACAGCCCATTTGTATATATCAGTATTTCATACCTCTTCCAGCCGTCACGAAAAACCAAGCAGTGAGCTATGAACATTTTATTTGACTCGAGGTGTATTAACTTCGTGGTGGGCAGAGCACAGATAACCCATTGGGTAGCTTTGTGCTTCAGTTCAAGCAAACAAACAAACAAACTATTAACTTCAAAAAGAAACACCATTTTATAAAATAATTAAACATGGAAAGCTGCCTTGAAAATTTTAATATTATAATACCATTGGCATAAAATTATATTTCTGATGCTAACCGTTAGTATTACCATATATCATAAATTTAATGTTGATTTATATAAATTATGTGTTTATGCCATTGTGTGTTTATATGTTAGAGCTGTAAAGACTTGCATGTCATGAATACCTATTAGTATAATAATTTAGGCCTAACTTAACCTGCTAAGCAGGGCAAACCTTGAGAGATGTTATTAAGTTTACGGTGTAAGCATTGTTTATGGCGAGGGTACCGAAGTGATAACTTTATATAAATTTTCTCGCTAGAAGTTTTTATTAGCAAGGTATTTTAAAATGAACTTAATCACTTTTAGATCCTTTGAATTTATATAACAATTTGCGTGTGTATTAGTTCATGAGTGTCTCTGTATATGTATACATCGAATATATACGAACATTCATAGGTTTAAAAAAAACTTCATTTATAGATTAAATTTTGTGATCTTCGCTTTTTACTGATCCTATTAACTTCTAACAACAATCAATTTTTCACTCCATTCATGTTCGATATTTGTATTTAAAACTTACAACGTTGGTAAATTAATATTTGAATTAATTACTCGGGCATTCCTGTATCTTAAAAATGTAATCGACATCCCTTGGTTTCAACCAACTTACAATAACGTGGAGTTTTGCGTCGCAGCAATATTTGGTTTATTAATCTTGAATCGTTGTCTGTTCTATCATTTGTAATGCAAAGTGAGCTCCTTTTCGAAAGCCCCGCAGTGGCACAGCGTTATGGCTGTGGACTTACAATACTACAAACCGGCTTTCAATACCGGTGGTGGGCAGAGCACAAATATCCCATTGTGTAGCTTTGTGCTTAATTACAAATAAATTCTTTCCGAAGAATAAATATAGCATTATAGTTTATAACAACGTTTTTCAAACTGGGGTCTGCGAGTCATATCCGAAATTTCATAAAAAGTAGGATTTATAGAATAAAAAATATTTTTGGTCAAATTAAATTTATATGAACTAATACATTTCATTTTAGAATACAGTTTTTCATGTACACGGAATCTTTTTTTTTAAACAAAAACATTGGCAAGTTAAAGTTACTAATGTTTGAGAACCACTGAACATTTAGACCCTGAAATTTTGATACTTAGGTGTTTGATGTATATGTTTATAAAAAATGAAAAAACAAAATTAATTATGAATACCAGCTGAAACAAACTTATATAAAACCAGTTCGTTTTGTTTTCCTTTTCAACTTGTAAAATTGTTTAAATTTACTTGATCTTTACAACCTATTTCGTAGGTTTAACTACTCTTCAGTCTGGAATTATTAACATTTAATTTTTTTTTGTAATTTCGCGCAAAGATACCCGAAGGCTAATTTACCGCCAACTCTTGATCTACTCTTTTACCAACGAATAGTAGGATTGACCCCACGGCTGAAAGGGGCGAGCATGCTTGGTGGAACGGGGATTCGAACCCGCGGCCTTCATATTGGGAGTCGAGTGCCCTAACCACCTAGCCAAGCTGACCTTAACTAAGTAAGACACAAAGAATTGCAAAAAAAGCTTCTTTTTAAATTATGTCATTTTTTCAGATACAACTGGTGAGATCTTCATAATATAACCTGTATACATATAACTCACCATGGGCGCCAGCAGGAAGGGGCAAGAGGGGGCATTTGCCCCTTTACATTTCACAAAACATTGCACGCATTATGATGTAAACTTAACATCGTAGTTAAACTTAATATTTTTAGTAATTTTAGTAATCATGGGTTAATACGTTTTAACTTTCTTATGGTTTTATATATTTAAAATTGTATTATTTTCTATATACTTAATTTTATTAATATTTCCAGGCTAGAAGAGTAGCCAAACCTATGTAACTAGTTGTAAAGATTTTATAACTTTAAATAATTTTACTAATTAAATAAAAGGGAGAATATAACGAATTTTTGCACGGAAAAATCTGGGACTTAATTTGTGAATTGTAATATCAATATGTCCCCCAGTGGATCAATGGTAAGTTCACTGATTTATAACACTAAAAGATGAGGTTCGATTCTCCTTAGTGGACAGAGTACAGATAGCCCACTGTGTAACTTTGCGCTAAGCAAACAAGAACATATAATACCCACAAGAAGTGAAATTTAACTTGTGGTCAGAGAAGCAGGTCGAAATTTTACAGGGGTGTATCCAGCTCTAGAGGAGAGGGAGGCTTTTTCTAAAAAAATATATGGACCTTTTCTTGGACACAAAAAATTAAGTGAGTTAGATGAAAGCCTTCTGTTTATCAAAAAAAAATCAGAACATAGTGGTACTTTTAGACTTTCTGGAATATTGGGGTGGTGCAATGCTCTCATATATGTAATTCAGTAGGTCTAATGAGAGCCGATGGTGGCCCAGTGGATAACGTGTCGGACTGTAAATCCGAGGATTCATGGTTCACATCCCGTTATCGCAAATATAACATACACATACATGTATCAGTCACGCTCCGTGTTGGTGGTGTTGGCTAGCTGCATTCCCCATACTCTATATAATTCAAAATTAAGGACGGCCAACACAATAGACCTGGAGTAGCTTTACGTGAGAAAAAATCCCCAACAGTTCATGTCTAGTGCAATTTCACTGCAATACGTGTCATTAAAGTATTACATAAATAATATTTATACGTATTAAAGTTACCTGCATTTTCATTGTGTTTACATTGTTGGCAATAAAATACTTAATTGTGCGTAGAGCTCTTTAAAATCTATCGATTTGATATATGTATATAATTTTTCTTCAATAACCATAAGTCCAAAATAGGCGTGATTTAAACTTTTGCGAATAGCAGCGTGGTAATTTTGTGGTGTTAGCCGACCAGACGTGGTCAGTCGCCATTGACCGTATGGACATAAGGTATCAAATTATGCTTAACCCCACCCTTTGCAATTAACCAAGTAAACGGCCGTGGTCGCTGATTTCAGCGATCGCAGTCTCCAGGCCGATCACTGACTGAACTTTGAAGCGATATACTAAAGGAAAGGCAGCTAAACACCACCCACCGCCAAGTTTTTGGGATACTCTGGCTTGATTTTTGTCTTTTGGCTATAAAGAGACGCAAACAACGGGGCCAAGTGGTTAAGGCACTCGACTTGCAATCTGAGGATCACGGGTTCGAATCCCTGTCACACAAAACATGCTCGCCCTTTCAGCCGTTGGGGCGTTATAATGTGACGGTCAATCCTAC